CTAACAATATTGTCTAACAGTGAATCACTGTTCACATTATTCTGGCTGAGTGGGGTTAGTGGCCCTTGATATGGAAGTCATGCGTACGCCTCTGACTGGATTCTCGGCAAAGACGTAATCAGAGTCACATATTTTGATTGTCTCCTTGGAAATCCAGTGCTAAAAGTTGTCTAACATACAGTCAGCATAACAAACAGCACTCCTTCATTACATGCGACGGTTAACAATTACATAAAGTATTTTCTGCTCATTCACAGTAGGCAAGGAATTAAATGTTAACTTCATATAACGGTTGTCTGCTAAATTAATCTGCAGGTAACATCCTATAACTGCAGAAGAAGCAATATGTTTAATGTATATAGAACAAAGTTGTTGTCAATACTATGAGCTAAGCTCAAAATTCAACTTTTTTAAAAAGCATTCAAAAACAAAAACAACAAATTCGTTGGCCCAAACTTTCAGCACACCTGAGACCTTCTCTGCAGTGTGAAATCCAGGGAGTAAAACCCTAAGCTGTGGAAGCAGTAATGGTCCTTTCAGGCCAATCAGTCTGCTCTGTGATCATGGCTGATTTCAGTGACTGGTGTACAAGGACACCCAGGTCTCGTTGTACCTCCCCCTTTCCCAGATCTATCGCCATTCAGATAATAATGTGTTCATGTCTATGCTACCAAAGTGGATATCCTCACCGTTTCCACTGACGGATGAAACTAGGACTAGGGGGCATAGCCTCAAAATAAGGCAGAGCAGATTTAGGACTGAATTGAGGAGGAACTTCTTCACCCAAAGGGTTGTGAATCTGTGGAATTTCCTGCCAGTAAAGCAGTTGAGGCTACCTTGTTGAATGTTTTTAAGGCAAAGATAGATTTTTGAGCAGTAAAGGTATTAAGGGTTATGGTGAGTGAGTGGGTAAGCGGAGCTGAGTCCACGGAAAGATCAGCCATGATAGTATTGAATGGTAGCGCAGGCTCACTCGTTCAGATGGCCTACTCTTGTTCCTATTTCTTACATTCTTATGTTATTCACATCATACTTCATCTGCCATGCATTTGCCCACTCACTAAATTTGTCCAAATCACACTGAAGCATTTCCACACCATGCTCACTACTTACCCATCCAAAGTGAATATATTTTGTACCCATGACCTGAAAATAACATTTGTTATTGCACTCAGTTACTTTCTGTTAAATCAAAGTGCAGTTACAGGTGGATGGCTTCATTTGGCTATCTGTTTCTGTATCTGTGCACAGACTTGCAATGCCCTTTATAAAAGGTATGGTACTCACGAAGTCCTTCTTTGACCATAATAAATTTTTGCTGAACGTTATGAAATATCTGATTTAATGTCTGCCATTACTCATCCACCGATTTTACCGAGTCTATTTTTCCAGCACATTTTGATGACTCTTTCTTCATATCTCTGTAATTGCCCTTACTTAAGCTTTGGACACTGGCTTCAGACTCTAGTAGCTGTCCCTCAGAGAGAATGTGAAATTCTGTGATGTTGTAATTGTTACACCCTACAGGATCCTTAAATATGAAACTGCTTATTAATCCTACCTCATTCCTGAATGAGGAAGAACTCTGTTTTTAATTATATTTTAGCTACATCTCTATATGTTCTGTACTTCAAATTGGTGCCAGAGTGTGGTGACATATTACACTTTTCACAGTATTTATTAAATATCAGTGACAATAAATCAGTCAATTCAATTCAATTCTGTTCAGACTTGCTGCTAGATCTGTTGACCTTTTCCAGCAATTTTGTTTTTATTTTATTCTTGGGTAGTTTCTGCACCTTACTGCTCTAAAACACAATCCTTGATGCACTCTACAAACAGGTCTTCCATCTGACTAATCAGAAGATTAAAATTACCCATGACAACTATAGTGCCCTTCACACACACAACTCTATTATTTCCTGGTTTATACTTCATACTACAGTGAGGCAACTTTTCAGAGCTATGGATAACTTGCAGTGGTGATTTCCTTCCCAATCCATTTCTTATTTCCACCCAAATTGAATCCACATCATAATCTAGTGAAACTTCACTAATCATCACCGCACTGATACTTTTATTAACAAAGCTTCCCCCTTTTTTCCATTGATTAGAAGATTAGAACCCCTACAGTGTGGAAACAGGCCCTTCGGCCCAACAAGTCCACACCGAACCTCAGAGCATCCCACCCAGATCCATCCCCCCATGACCCACCTAATATACACCCTCTACCTCCCTGAACACTATGGGCAATTTAGCATGGCCAATCCGCCTAACCTGCACATCTTTGGACTGTGGGAGGAAACCGGAGCACCCTGAGAAAACCCACGCAGACACGGGGAGAATGTGCAAACTCCACACCGACAGTCGCCCGAGGCTTTTTGTCTATTTTTCCAGAAAGTTGAATAGATCTGAATATCGAGTACTCTGTCTTGGTCACCCTGCAACCACATCTCTGTCATAGCTATCAAGTTACAATCATTTACTTCCATTTCTGCTGTCAACTCAAACATCTTATTACAAATGCTATGTGCATTCAAATAAAAAGCACTAAGCTTTGACATTTTAACTTTATCACTTCTTCTGGTTCTAAGTTCTGCTGAACTCTTCTGCATATATTTTCTACCTTTTCCTATCACATTTTGATTATTCACCTTTTCACTAACCTGTACCTCTGATCTCTCATTTCCATGGAATCTGGAAAGTTAAAGGGCAATTTTTTTGATAAGAACAGTATCTATTCCCCTATGCTATCCCCCAAGTATACTATATTTCCTCTTTCCTCCCTTCACTTTTATAGCTCGTTAGACCACAGTGCTGTGGTCAGTTCACATCCTCCCAGAAGCCTGTGCCCTTGCCCACATCAGCAGCAAGAGTGAATCACCACCTCTATGAAGTGGTGTGTGCCTTTAATGTAACTAGGATGCTTCTGTGCTAATGAATTCCAATCTACATCTCATTAGCCTAGATGCATTAGCTTGAAAAATAAAGTCTCTGAAAAATGACGTATTTGAATTAAGCCAATTCTCCTTGGATTCTTAGTTTGATGCTGCAAAGTGAATTTGTGCATTCCCTTTGTTGCACAGTTAGAGCTTTGGAAGTCAGTATCCTGGTGCATCTGTCAACATTCATTTTAAACAGAAATATTCAAGAAAAAAAAACTTGAAATAGGCAGAGCAAAACCAAAAGACTGTGGGAGTGTTATTTGGTAACAGTTTTTTTTTAAAAAAAGGGGCTGAAAATGTGAGACTCAATCCTGATAAATTTGCTTTATGCTCAGTAGTTAGAATTTTCAATATTTGGATTTAGAGAATGAGAGAATTATTTATAATAATTTAATTAGAATCTGTAAGTAAAATGTTTTGAGTTAAATTTTGAGATTAAAATAACAAAAACATAGACAAATATAAAACCGCATCATTTAATGAATGAGTTACTAAGATGAAATAGTAGTTCTGGAAAATTTCAAGAATCCTAGTAAAAGTATTCTTTTGACCCTTTCTTCAAGAGTTAAGTGGCAAGGTTAGACAAATCAGGATAATTCTCCCTGGAATCTGGAAGGTTAGGGGGCAATTTGAACTTTGCCCCCTATGCTCCTCCGACTTTCTTTATCCCATTGGCAGTCCTGAAAAACCCTAAAGTCTGGAATTTCCTCTAAACCACATTTCTTTCTTCAGTCTCTCTCCTCTTTTAAAGCATTTTCTAAAACCTGCCTCTGACCAAAGTTTAAATCATCCCTCCAACCAGCTCTGTCATTCATTCAACACGTTCTGTTGTCATTATTGTTTGATTTCATTCCTGTGAAGGGTATTGGGATATTTTCCCACTGTATAAACATGAGTTTTTGTGGGTCCTGTAAACATCCTTCCCCCAACCAGCACACAAGACACAGTTGATCTCAACAGCCTTGTTCAGTAGCTGAACTCCCCTTTTGCGCACTGGGATTAGTAGGGGGAATAGTTGCTCAAGTCAGCAAATGACTTTTCACTCTCCATTGGTAATTAATGCATCAATTCAGATGCCAGGAACAGTTGGGCATGTGTACTTGGCTCACACTGCATCCACCAACGTGTATGAGGTTTCACTCACTAAGGTCATTGGTGCAATTCTATGGGCACTTGCCAACTCAGTGGTGACACAACCAGTCTTAACCCCCCGAACCATTGCCATACCATGTTCCCATCTCTAGCTACTGCAAGCTGTGGTCTATTCAGCAGTGCTGATGTTCATTTAATGGTATCAAAATAACATTGCATTTCACAAAATGCACAGTAACTCAATGCCCTTCACCTTATCATCAGTTTTGGCAAAATTCTCACACAAGAATTTACATGGTATTAGCACATGTGAACAAGAACCAGAATTTCATGACTGAGGCAGGAATCAACTAGGAGTTGGGAAATTTCCCAAAGTAGCATTTACTGAGGAAAAGCTGCACATAGATGGAGAAAAGCACAATCTTGTGTGTGCAGGAAAAACATTGACATGAAAATCAATAAAGGATTGTGCCAAAATTATTTGTAAAATAAGCACTGCCATGTATTTGATGTTCAATAAATCATCAAATTCCAGTGTTAGACTCAATTACTGGATCTTTAAAACTGCTTAACTTAACATTAACTGCTCTCAATCAAAGGGAAGCAGCTGCTTTAAGCTGCTCAAGATGCGTATTGGTGTTGTCACTACCCTTCTGAGCTTAGAGACCTGGGTTCAAGTTCCACTTGATCCAGAGGTGTGTAATATCATCTCTAGACAGGTTAAAAAAATTGTTGATTTCCCCTTCTCTCAGCTGCATTACAATGTCCAAAGCTAATTACTTGCAGGCTGCAATAATGTACCCAATTGACATATTAGTAAACAATAAAAGTCACCCTGAAGTTAATCAGGAAAAAGACAGACAGTGCCTTGGTCTATTATTATGACAGAAATGAGCATGTTTAATACTGATTGGTCTCCTTCATTTTATATATGCTGTCAAAAATACTTAATTCCCTCAGGAGTAAAGCAAAGACAACATCTGGTACTTATTTAATCTCAAAATGCTCCAATTTCTATGTTATGACATTTACATTTAGTTTCAAGTTACTCATTATATTTCACAGACATACTGCTATGACAATAATAAGTCAGTTAAATTGGCAGTTGCTTAACTACTTGATTATAGGAAATAGCAAGCTCACATTGCAAAGTGAATAAATGCAATAGAATGAATGCCTTTGAAAACAGAGAGGAATTAATCATCTCTGTGACAGTCTTCTGCCATGTAAGACAACGGTTTGCACCATGGCGGTCAATTAATTATATAAATCAGAAATAAAGAAAGAGGAGCTATCAGATTCCTCCTTCAGAAGTGTTAAAAAATAATTTCTTTTACATGCTTTAGTTCCTAAAAAAACAACAATTTGCATTACAATAATATCTGGTTAATTAATCATACAGGCCAAAGCCTCAAATCTGTATGTGAAATTGATTAACTCATAAGGGTCATTATTCATCTTCACCACCACACATGCTTAGAAGGGCATTCCTGTAATCACCAGAGGTATCGCTCTGCAGAGAAAGAAAAGCCTTGTTAACATAAACTCAAGGAATTATGGTTATCTATGTGAATTAAGCTATATTGTTCAACATGACAAAAGATTAAATCCTGATAAGGGGACAAATTTTCCTCTTGACAATTCTAGAGGTCATGTATTAAAGCACAGAAGTGCAAGAGGTTTTAAATAGCAATGATTCCTCGAACAAGCTTAAATGACAGCTTATACAAAGAGTGATCAAAAGGGAACCATACAGGATAGATTTCCTCTGAAACTATATACAAGATTTCCACACAAACCTTTCGATGGTAAAATCCATCTCAAGAGTTCAAAAGTAGTTGGCTGTACAACATTTTCATAGAAAATTGAGAGAGAGAATTCACACTTAGCCAAACAGGTAAAGCGTAAATTCAAACCCAAATGCATTACATCTTTAATCATTCATAACTGCAGGGTAGGCAAATAATTTTCTCTCGGGGGTTGGGGTACACACAAACTTAGGAGCGTGAATCCTGTTTGGGACAAGTTATTGATGCCTGAATAGTGCCAATATTCCCACTGCAACATAAAAGTGGATTCAGAATATCCTCAATGTTTATGCTGAGGAGCCTACTTAAACATTTTACTGGCAAATATTTCCTAGTAGCGTTTAGTTTCCTCTGTTCAAAACACTTTGGCCTTTTTGTATTTTGGTATGTCAGCTTTTAATAAAAAAAAACAACCCTAAAAGTTCCCAATCTTCAATGTAAAAAAATTTCATTTTAACCATCCATTCTGACCATCGCTTGACTTCATCCTGTGTATTCAACCTGATACTTTAAAAACTTCTACTACATCTCCTCAACTCAGATGCAGGAATACCCGTCAATCACTTGCTCTTAATCCTTCTTATTTCTTCGTAGTTTGCATTTTCAAAATCAGAGTTTGCCCTTGGACTTTGGCTGTTGCAATTGTCAGATAATCTGACATTGAATTATGTGATTCATAGCATTTAAAGGGTGTAATACTATTTAAAATGTGAACGCTGCACTGATTCCATGCAAGGTGTTCATCATAAAACCATTAACCCTAGTGACATCTTTAGCACTGAGTCAAAGAAAGCAGTCTTCTATCACATTAACAAGTTCCGAGATATTTCCAATTTAAAAACACCTATTGTGTAATAAGTTGATTGAAGTTATTTTTCTATCACATATTGCCCTTCCAGCATCTCCTCAGATAATATTACCTTTATCTTATTTACAGAATCTACTCCATCCTTTTCTCAAACTATCATTACCCCTATCTATGTATGGCAGTCAATTCCAGCCTATTGTTTTGCTTTGTGTTCCAAGACATCAAGAATAAATTAAAAGTTTTTGTTATGTTTCAGTTCCTTCTACATTCTTAGATTGTCTTAAAGTACTTCACAGGCAACTAAATACTTTTTAGGGAGGAGTCACTGTAATAACGTAGGCAAACTGATTTGAGTTCAAAAGTATCTGTATACAGGATACTGCCCTCTTAACCCGCAATGTATTTCCTTCTGAACATCCTTTTGAATTCACTTCTTATGGGACCAGATAAATTTAGGATATCTGGTCAGCATGGATGAGTTGGACCAAAGGCCTGTGTCTCCGCTGTACAACTCTGACGCTAGAAGGACCTTATTTCAAACACTTGAATATTCAGGTCAAGACATTTTGTTGTTTTAATTTATTTTTTTAAACTTATGCTCAGCTGTTTATCTATCTTTCATACCTGCTGCTATAATTTCTGGGTAACAAACAACTAACTAGTTCTCATTTTTATCTTTATCACGAAGAAGCACTTTCTGTTCCATAGCCATACCTTGATCATACTGGAAAGAGTCTTTCCATAGTTGGCATAGAACTTCTCACAGATTTCAAGCAAATCGACTTCACTCCTTGAAACCATTACCCTGATAAGCGTATCATCATCTGTACCAGCTCCCTAGTTGCAAAAGAAAGCATGTGAAAAATCCTTAACTCCTTTTGACAGACTCCATCAACTCACCAGGACAATACAAGACTGTGACTGCATACTTTTATGCAAGACCATTAAAACTGTTTTCTCTACCAAGAGCAATGTCAATTTACACTGTGCTCGGATCTGTTAAATAGTGAACAAATTATAGCTTGATCTACTGATCTCTTTAAACACTGATCAGAAAAGGGAGTTGCAGAGTCAGGATATTCAACTGTGTGAGCCAGTTAAAATAATCTTCCTTGCCATATTAAGAATTGCACACTTGATGAATTACAATTTATTCAACCAGAGTGCACCTTCAAACTGAAGCAAGGACTGTTTTGCTCACCAACTCCCAGCATGGAATTTCTGGTGAATGCTGCTGCATACCTCTCAGGTGAGGGTGTTTTGATGGGTAGCATACACAGGCATGCTGATAGACACATACACAAAAAGATGCTAGGGCCATTGACTGTTCAACCTAGTACTGTGGCATCGAACAGTTCTAATGTCTGGACAGTGCTGCCTCAAAGGCTTTCAGCCCACCTGACTGCCAGTTTGGACAGAAGCAGCTGCTGGCATGACCCAGCAAAAGGGACATCAGCCTCAATACCAGTGCTGAATTTCACATCTTTAGGCCTCAAGTATCACACCCTTAAAAAAAAATAGATATCCCTAGCAATGAAGCTCCTGCACTCCACTCAATACACAAAATGTAACAGGTTGCTCATTTTAGCATTACGACATTACCATGGTCTGATAAATAAGTTTGTGGGGGACACCAGAATTAGCGGAGTTGCAGATAGTGTGGAGGATTGTCAAAGGATGCAGCGGGATACAGATAGATTGCAGATTTGGGCAGAGAAATGAGAGGTGGAGTTTAATCCGGACAAATGCGACAGGGTGCATTTTGGAAGATCAAATTCAGGTGCAAATTATACAATAAATGGCAGACCCCTTAAAAACATTGACAGAGGGATCTAGGTGCACAGGTTCACAGAACCCCGAGACAGTTGGCACCACAGGTGGATAAGCTGGTCAAGAAGGCATACAGCATGCACAGTTGCCTTCATCGGCCAAGGCATCAAATATAAAAGTTGGCAAGTTACGTTAACAGTTATATAAAACTTCAGTTAGGCCAGATTTGGAATATTGCATGCAGTTCTGGTTGCCACACTACCAGGATATGGATACTTTGGAGAAATTGCAGAGAAGGTTTACCAGGATAGTAGGAACTGCAGATGCTGGAGAATCTGAGCTACCAGGATGTACAGCTGGATGAACACAGCAGGCCAAGCAGCATCAAAGGTGCAGGAAAGCTGACGTTTCAGGTCTGGACCCTGTCCGTCTTTTCTGTCACCTATCTGCTCCTCTCACCTCACCCCCAACCCCACCTCCTATCTACCAGCCTTATCCCCGCCTCCTTGACCTGTCTGTCTTCCCTTGACTGACCAACCCCCATCCTAACTCCCCACCTACACTCACCTTTACTGGCTCCATCCCCGCCTCCTTGACCTGTCCATCTCCTCTCCGCTTATCTGCTCCTTTATCCACCTTCCATACACCTCCCCCTCTCTCTCTATTTAGTTCAGAATCCCCTTTTCCCTCCCCCATTTCTGAAGAAGGGTCCAGACCCAAAACGTCAGCTTTCCTGCTCCTCTGATGCTGCTTGGCCTGCTGAGTTCATCCAGCTCAACACCTTGTTATCTCAGGTTTACCAGGATGTTGCCTGGTCTGAAGGGCTTTAGTATGAGGTGAGGTTGGATTATCTCAGGCTGTTTTCACTGGAAAGAGAGGCTGAAGGAGGATATGATAGAGGTTTACAACATTATAAGTGACATAGATAGAGTGGATAATAAGAGGTATTTTCCCCCAGGGTGGAAAGGTCAACGACAAGAGGGCAGGCATTCAAGATGACAGAGGGGAAAGTTTAGGGGAGAAAAAGTGCAGGGAAAATTTTTCACACAAGGGGTGGTAGGTGCCTAGAACACTGCCAGCGGTGGTGGAAGCAGGCTCGTTAACAACATTTAAGGTGCATCTTGATAGACAAATGAATGGGAGGATAACAGAGGGATTGAAACTGTGCATGGGGAATAAGTGGTGGGTCTAAATAAGGACTAGGAATCGACACAGGCTTAGTGGGCAGGAGGGCCTGTTCCTGTGCCCTCCTGTACTGTATTATCATATTGTATTAGATGTGTTAATATCACCATCTAGAGCAAATCTACCAGATAGCTTTGACGTACCTGCATGGCATTGTATAGTGTTGTAGCAAAATACTCAGGAACACTTCTTATACACTTCACTGAAACAAAACACAAATATCATTTTTATATGTATATCTCATCTATGGCTCTAAGGGCAGTAGTCACACAAGAAATCAATAGGCCATTTGTTTCAATTATGAAACCTATGGAAATGATTTGCAAGTCAACTGACCACTAGCTCAGGAGAAGGGCATTGATGCATTAAGGAAAAGTTCAATAAACAAATGAGGGAGAAAGGAATAGAATAGGTTGTTGGGTTAGAAGGGTAAAAGGCTTGAGGGAAGCATAAACATGAGCATGTTCCAGTTGGGCTTTTTCCCATACTGTAAATACTATATTACATAACAAAACACTATCTTGCTACTTACCAACTGCTAGCAATGCAGACCTCAGATTTCCAGATGTCTCCGAAGAAATGCTTTCTTCAATCTGATAGCCCGAGATTCTCATGTACTCAGAAAAAACTGTAAAAGAGCTCACATTATTAACAGTTATTTCCATTCTATAACTGGGCACAGATATTTCAAACCTGGAATTCGAATCAAGTACTTCTATGTAATCAATGAACGGTTTTCCATTCTTAGAATATGATACTGATTCCTGAACGAGTAATGTTAACATTTGTTTTTTGCAGCGTCACACTCTTGCCCTTGAGGAATAGACATGGAGCACTAGACTGATTTACAAGCTAATCATAACCTGATAGGCTGGGCTGTAAATATTCCTTTTATGGGGCAGGAAAACCTATAGTATCTAATGTGGAAAGGAGTCCGTCACATACCCCAAACCTTTCCAACTGCAGACCAAGCTCGGTAACCACCCTTTGCCGCTGAACCTCTCCCACCAACATCAAAATAAAGGCCAGGCTGACGCAGCCCTTTAACACAGGGAGGGCTTCCTGGGAAATTTTACAGGCACTCCCCCACCCCACCTACAAACCTGCCAGCAGGGGGCCATGAAATTCTGTCCCTAGAATGGGATTTGAACTCACGATTTCTGGTGCAGAGACAGGAGTGCTACCAAGTGATTCACAGATCTCCCAGTACTGTTTCTACACAACCTTAGCATGTAAGCAGCTACAACAACAGCTTCATCAGGTCCCTAGAAGCCTCCACTATTTAGTGGACAAGCTCGCAGAAATTTAAACCTTGACAAGAGGACTGGACTGTTGAAACCAGCATACTTTCTTACAGATCCCTGCAACAGCTCACCCAACCTAACCCACCTCCCTTTGTCTGATACAAGCACAGGCATGACACAAAAACTTGCAAATAAAATGAAAACAAGGAGTTTGAGAACTAATGCTAAGAAAGACCAAATTCCAGAAGCAAAAACTGAAAGAAATACATGAATCCCGGTCACGTGAAAATGTTTAGGCACTTTGAGCAGGTATCACAGAGGATGACAGCTGTGATTGTGATCTGAAGGAGAATTGGCATAGCTAAGTTCAGCTTTGTCTGAATTGAAGGATGTTTTAACAAAGAAACTGAACTTGAATCTTAGGATAAGAATTGAGGTGTTTACACTTTATTACACATTTTAAATGCTTCAGACACATACAACAAATAAAGGAAATATGGATAGCTGAATGAATTTGAGATGTGGACATTTTGGAGAATGTTCTATTTATTTTACATTGAAAGAAATACTAATGTAGAAATGTTAAAAGTAGCTGGAGAAAAGAGGAAGTTAGTGCATACTATCAAGAGAAGACATCACCTTGGTCATAGTAGACAGTTAATGGAGAAGATCAAAGGAAAATATAAGAAGGAAGCAGGAGAGAAAACGGATGATGGTTGATTTATGTGGAACGTTTAAGGGCAGCACCGGATAGACAGAAATGGAGATCCATGCTAATTAGCACTTTGGTAAAATTATGACAATAAGTGAACAAACTCAGCTTTCTGCTGTTTAACACCTCCCTGTTAATGTGAATGGGACTTTTTCTCACAACTAAATAAAATGCTTCATTCACAGTAAACCAAGTAATCAAATATTTTATGCATACTCGTTGCAACTTAGGTCAAAGTCAGAAGGAAAAGACAACAATAAAGCAAACAAAAGGATACTAGTGTCTCCAGCTTTCAGTTACTTCATGGGCTAAATGTTTGAAATTAATTGCATTATACCCCAAGTATTCTTTTAAAAAGGTCACAGTTTAAAGTATATGACCAATACTACTACTTTTAAAATACACACAATCATAACTTGTTGCCAGTAACAAACGCGAAACCAGCACAGCCCACCTTGCCGAAGGTAAGGAACACTCTTGGTCCCGATGATAGTAAGGAATGTTGATTCATCAGTGCCACATTTCAATTCTCCAGCTTGAAACAGTTCCTGTCATATAAAGATGTTACTCATTATACAAACATATAGCCTTGGAGGACGTAATTTAGTGCAATATAGTTCCATGCAACGACTTTCTCTGTAAGCCAGTTCTCTTCATGCCCAACCTTTGAAAGTTCTTATAGATTTTGCTCCCACATTTTTTCAGGTTGTGCTTTTGACATCTTAACAACCTGTGCAAAGAAATTCTGTTCTATTTCTCCAAGTTCTCTTGCTAATCATTTTACGTCTTCTTGCTACTGACCTATTTGCCAGAGGAAATAACTTCACCCTATTTGTTTTATTAAAACCTTTAATCATTTGGAATACTTCCATTAGGTACAATGCTCCCTCCAAGACGTGCAGACTCTTAGAGGGTCTGCGCACAACTGTAGACACATTGACTTCCTGTTTTGGAAGAGATAATGGGGGTCCAAGCAATGGCAGGAAAAATTAAAAGATAATGTAGATTAGGCCTCCCTTGTAAGGGGAACAATCCCAGTTTTTCCAATATCTCCACATAAATACAATAAATTAATATGAAACTGGGGACGCGGGTGGGGTCCAGCATAGTCAATACCAAAGAGAACTGCAACAAATTATAGGAGGATGTTAACAAGCTTGCAGAATGGACAAAGAATTTGTAAGTTTGACAGATAATTGTGAGTTAGTACATTTTTGAAGGAAGAAACAGAAAGTCATTTGAAAGGTACAAGTCTACAGCGGGTAGAGGATCAAATTGATCCTGGAGCACAAATACTTCAAAAGTTGTGCCATCAATTAGAAAATCCAAGCAATGTGATAGAATTGAAAAGAATGGAAGTTATGCTAAAACACTGATTAGACCATTCTTCAGAGTACTGCATGCAAAGATAAATCCAAAAATGTGACAGTTTACACAATCAGCAGAAGAGGGAGGGCTGGGCACCCTTCCTCCTGAAGTATGGCCAAGGGATGATCTAATGGATATCTTTAAGATTTTGCAAGAATTTGATGCACGGATACAGAGAGAATATTACTAGTCAGTATCAGTATAAAATAGTCATGAAGAGGTCCAATTGGGGTAATTCAGAAGAAACATCTTTACTCAAGGAGTGGGGAGAATGTGGAACTCATTACCAAAGGGTGTGAATAAAGTGATTAGTTTAGATGCATTCAAGGTAGGCTCGACAAGCTTTTAAGGGAGAAGGGAACAGAGGGTTACAATAAGAGATTTAGATGAGGAAAGTTCAAGGGACAAGGTTCAAGCAGATTATAAACACCACCAGCATGGACTAGTTGAGCCAAATGGCCCATTTCAGTGCCATACCTCCTACAAAATTCAAACATCATCCATCGTTTCTATCACATCAATCTTCTACGACATCAAAAAAATTCAACTGGAATACTCAATCACAATCTACATTTTATAAATCCATGGTGACTCTTTTTAATTAGCTTAAACCTCCCCACAGCCTGTAGTTACCCAGGAATGTTCTTTTGATCTTACTTCACTAAGACAATCTCATTTGCCACTGTTAAATCATCTGACACCTCTCTATATTTAGAACAGATTGGAAAATTATGGCAAGTCCTTCCACGAGTTCCACTCCCAATTCCATTAGCAAACTGGAATGCAAGCCATTCAGACCAGGTGACTTATCCACTTTAAGCACAGATAGCCTTTCATGTAAGTCTTTCTTTTCAATTTTCACCTTACCCACTACATTGTCCCTCGCCACTTCTACCAACACCTGTCAACATCGTCTTTAGCAATCACTGATACAAGGTACTCACTAAATATTCTAGCCCTGTCCTGCATCTAGAAGCATGTAGTCTCTATTGGCCCCACTCCACTTCTTACTACCTACTTAGTATTGTCAGAAGGCTTCTGTACTCCCTTTCATATTAATGATTTCCACAGTCTTATTTTCTTTTTCACTTCCTCTCTCAGTTTATTACACTTGACCTGGTTCTCACATGAAGAATTCATTTACCATGCATCATTCACTCTTATTTTTGGTTCATCATATTCTCTATCTCCCTCATCATTCAAGACAGTCTGGTTTTGGTACACCTGTCTATTCTACTTTTTTGGAATGAACTCAGTCTGTATCCAAAACAGTGCATTCTTAAAATGGTCACCCATTGTTCCATTACAGCTTTTCCTGTCAAGCTTTTGTTCCATTTAACCCAATTAGGGCTCCTCTCATCCAATTAAAGTTCTCTCTCTCCCAATTTTGAAGCTTTACTTCATATTGTTCCTATTCTTCTTCATTACTTAGTTAAACTTTATGACACAACAGTGTCTTACCCAAGTGTTATCCAAGCATGAAATAAAGTACATTCGGCAGCACAAAAGCTTCAAAACCACTTTAAAAATGTGGAAGAGTAAAGAACCTTTTTACAGTGATTCAAAGAGAAAGGCTTCATTGCAATAAAAAGTAAACATAAATGCTTTGACTGACCTGTGCATCTTTTTTCACTACTGCATCATCATACACTGTGCTCTCATCTCTATTGGCCTTAAAAAAGGAGAAAGAAAGTTTAATTTTTATAAATAAAGACTCTCGTAGTTGATCAAGCGTGAAACCCACTGCTATAAATTACTGATTATTTAATTACTTCATGCTAACTGAAACAGTGGCACAGAATGGTAAGTTCCACAAGCGCTGTCAAGTGTATATTTACCCTAATCCTTCAGACTGCACAATAGTTGGATCACAAATTGCTAGCAATTGATTATTACACAACAATGTTTCTCCCTCGATCTATTTGTTTCTTTGGCTGAGGAAAGCAACAGAGCAAATGAGACAAGGAAACAGTGAATTACAGTCCAATTATAGACAGAATGACAAATAAAGAGTCAGAGTGAAAGAGCAAAACAAACAAGAAGCACAATGAGGAACAGAAAGACATTGCAACCCAGGATTGTTTGAAAATTAACCTCTCAAGACCAGCATAATAAGTGCATGGCATTGTAGGTGTGATAAATGGCCAAATATACCTCTTTAAATATCATGTGTCATAATTTATTTTTGAAGAAATCTTTATAATTCACTCTTTGAATGTTGAATTCAAAACCGTTTACATCCCATACATTGCCTCTGACACTAATGAGAATGGAAGGCAAGGCATTTAGAAACCCTCTTGAACAATTAGCTAGCTACCCTAGTGAAATTACATGGGTCAACTTGCTTTCTTTCTGCATTTAGCTAAAGTGAATTTGCAAATTAGGTTAAATGATAGGTCAATAGAGATGCAGAATCAACACATAAATTTAAGGTGATATTTCAGAATACTCAGAACGGATGCATTTCAACAAGTAGAAAGGGACTGGCACACCATCCCTGGTCAAATAGAAGGTTAAAGACAGCATCAAACTAAACGAGAAAGCATATAATTGTGCAAGGACAGGTGGTATGTCACAAGGGAGGAATTTGAGAAAAAAAGTATCATTTCTGTGGTGATTAATAAGTAAACTGTTGGAGCCAAGGGCTGGCAAGTGTCCAATGAATGTAATTCCTTTATTCAGGAAAAGAGGGAGACAGAAAGGAGGAAACTATAAGCCAGTTGGCTTAACATCTGTCATAGGGAAGATGTTGAAAGTTACTAAAGAAGTTACAACAGGACACTTAGGTAAGTTTAAGAGAATCAAAGTCAACATGTTTTTAAGAAAAGAAAATCACATTTTGCCAATCTATTGGAGTTCTTTGAGGAGGTGACACATTCTGTGGATAAACAGGAGCCAATGGACGTGCTGAAAATAGATTTTCAGAGGCATTTGATAAAGTGGCATATCAAAAGTTATTGCAGAAAATGGATAGGTAATTGTGAAGGCAGCATATTGACATAGATAGAAGATTGGATGGCTAATAGGAAGCAAACAGAAGATGCAAATGGCATTAGAACAGGCTTTCGAATGAATGTAGTTCCTGCTGGAAACTGACCACCAAGAGAATGTATATCTTTGGAATTCTCAACCTCTGAAGGATATGGATGCTAAGTCACTGAGTATATTCAAGACCAAGATGGGATAGATATATTGATATTAGGACTTGGAGATCAATGTATATGGAGATCAGGAGCAGAAGTTATTTTAAGGTCAAAGATCAGTCAGGATCTAACTGAGTGGTACAGCAGAGTCAAGGGAGTTTTATAGCCTACTCCAGCTCCTATTTCTTAGATTTTTAATTCATATATCCTTGAAATAGCGCAATGTGATCTTTTGCACATATCAGAACTCCAAACATCCTTCAGTTCTGTATCCCTTTCAAAAGGGCGACATCTTTAGCAACACAGCATTCCCTCCGTACTGCACTGGAATGTCACATGTTCATGTTTCTGAATGAGATTTGACCCACACAACCCAATGAATCCACGAGGGAGAATGGTAATGAAGCAAGACCAACATCTGAGCAATTAACCTCTCTCCATGCTTCCCCTAATCCCCTATCTCAATAAATCACCAGGCTATTGGAAACCAGTACAGATAACGAGAGAGTTTCATTATACTAAATTATTCCAAAGCATTTCACGAATACAGTTTTACATGTCAGATTTCCAACTGCCAAAATACTTAATAAAGCCCTCAATGCCACAAGCAGAACCCTATGTGACAGTGGTAAAGATAAACTATTCCTCCTCATCCTTTTTGACCTATTGGTAGCCCAGTTTCAACCAGGTGACCACAGCATCCTTCTCCAATGCATCTCCTCTGTTGTCAAGCTGGGAAATTATCAGCTCGAGTTGTTAATTCTGCAGACACCAAGGGTCTATCTTTGCCATTCTCTGAATTCTTAATTACAAACTGCCCCTTGATAACATCGAAGATCATATCTTCAGCTTCTAAATGCACTGATGACAGCATTACCCCAACACCACCGCTCCTAGCCTCTTCACACTCTGATTAGTCACACAAATTATCCAACGTCCCAACATGGGATGAGGTAGTCCCTCTAATTAAGTACTGGGAAGGTCAAATCTACTGTGGTAGGGTTGGAAGACAAAGTCTATTCCCCAATTATGAACACCTCTCCTCTCTCTGGTCACTGAGTTCAGTTGTTCACAATTTTGGCGTCCTTTTAGCCCTAACCCAGATCTTCAGAGATCATTCCAACCATTTCAAACCCTGCCTCAGTTCACTTCCCCTGCCAAAACCTTACTCATGTCATGGTTACTCCTAGATCGCTGACAGTACAACATTTTCCTGGACAGCAGATCTCCCCCAAACCTACATTGGTGGCCATGCCCTTAACTGTCTCAATCCTCATCTTTGTAATGTTCTCCTTAAACTACCTCATCTATCTAGCTCTTTCTTTTAAGACATGCCCACTTCTTTAACCAACTTTTTTTTTAAATCATCCATCTTAATATCTCCAGTTGATTTTGTTTTATAATGCTTCTGTGAAACATTAGTTTATTTTACTGCATTTAAAGCATTATTAAATACAAGTTGCTTCACAGATTACAACAATGGAGAAGTTGCTTCTATAAACATTCCTGGAAACATTTGCAATGATTATGGTGGTTCACATTTGGATTAGGAAATTAAACGTTTACCTGGAGAAGAATCACCAAAATCCTTTGGAAATGACCAGACGTGTCACTAACAATACTTTCTTCCAAATCTTTGCCATATTCTGAAAGAGGTATTCAATGAGATTGTCAGCTGACGATTGCTATGCTCAGTTCCATTTACAATTCTTCAGCTAACAATGCTGCCTGTGCCCCCACACAGTCAGACATGGGATCAGACTTGGGCTGATGAATGGCAAATAACATTTGTACCACACAAGTGCCAAGTAATGACCATCTCCAGTGAAAGAGAAACTCTCCTCTTTGACTTTCAATGTCATCACTATCATCAAATCCACTGTACCACTAACCAAAAACTTAACTGGAATAACCACGTACATACTATGGTCACCAGAACAGGTCAGATACTGGGAATTCTGCAGTGACATATCACCCAACTTCCCAAAGCCTACCATTCATCTACAAAGGCACAACTCAGAGTGTGATAGAACATGCTCCATTTGCTGGATGTTGGCATTCTAAAACCACCGAAGAAACTTGTCATCTGTAATGTGTTGGTAAGGCCACATTTGCAGTACTGTGCACAATTCTGGTCACCCTACTACAGAAAAGATATTACCAAACTAGATAGAGTGCAGAAAAGATTTACTAGAATGCTACCTGGGCTGGAAGGTTTGAGTTGTAAGGAGAAGCTGGATAGGCTGTGACTTTATCCCCCAGACAGTAGGAGACTGAGGGGTGACCTTACAGAGGTCTATTAAGTCATGAGAGGCATAGATAAGGAAGATAGTCAACTGCTTTTCCCCATAGTAGGGGTGTCTAAAACTAGAGGGCATAGATTTAAGGTGAGAGAGGAGATTTACAAAAAAGGTCCAGAGGGGCAACTTTCTCCTACAGAGGGCTGCAAGTGTCTGGAACAGGCTGCCAGAGGTAGTGGTGGAGGTGACTACAATTGCATCATTTCAGAAACATTTGGACAGGTACCTAGATGGGATAGGAATGGGGGGATATGGACCAAATGCAGGCAAATGGGACTACATTAATTGTGGCAACTGGGAGGACTAGTTGGGCCAAAAGGCCTGTTTCCATGCTGTAAACATCTATGACTCTAGGACAACACAATTGATAGCTACTTCACCCATGATGACCTCCAACACCAGTCTACCATGGTGCAACGAGTACCATCTACATGATGAAATACACTAATGCACCAGAACTCCTTCAACATCAGCACCTTCCAAATTCTCAGCCACCTTTGTTAAGGACAACAAGGGTAACGTACACATGGAAATACCATCAGCTCCTGACACATCACAGCCCAAGCTGGAATTATATCTTTGTTCCTTCATCTTCACTGGCTGAAAACCTTTGAAATAATAACCCTACAATAGAGTGGGAGCACCTACACCACAGAGAATGCAGGGGTTCAAGTAGGATGATCTGCAGCACCTTCTCGGCAGAAAGCAGACGTAGGCAATGTTGCCCACATTGCAAGATTGAGTGAAAAAAGAAACAAATTAGGGACACATTTTGAAACCAACTCTGGTGGTTACAGAGTCAGAGAGATGCACAGCACAGAATCAGACCTTTCGGTCCAACTCGTCCATGCCAACCAGATATCCTAAATTAATCTAGTCCTATTTGCCAGCATTTGGCCCATATCCCTCTAAACTCTTCCTATTCATATACTCATCCAGATGCCTTTTAAATGTAATTGTACCAGCCTCCACTACTTCTTCTGGCATTCCATACACACACCATCCTCTGTGTGAAAAAGTTGCCCCTTACATCCTTTTTAAATCTTTCCCCTCTCACCTTAAACCTATGCCGTCTAGTTTTGGACTCCCCCACCCTGGGGAAAAGATCTTGTCTGTTCACCCCATCCATGCCCCTCAAAGTTTTATAAGCTTCTACAAGATCACCCCTCAATCTCTGATGGTCCAGGGAAAGTAGCCCCAACCTATTCAGCATCCTTCTGTTGCTGAAACCTTCCAACCCAGGCAACATCCTTGTAAATCTTTTATGAACCCTTTCAAACTTAACATATAGCAGGGAGACCAGAACTGAATGCTGTATTACAAAAGGGGTTTAACCAATGTCCTGTAAAGCCACAACATGACCTCCCAACTCCTATACACAATGCACTGACCAGTAAAGGCAAGCGTATGAGACAACATCTTCACTACCCTGTCAACCTGTGACTCCACCTTCAAAGAACTATGAACCTGCACCCTTGGGTCTCTGTTTGGCAACACTCCCTAGGACCCTACCAATAAGTGTGCAAGTCCTGCTCCAATTTGCCTCATCAAAATGCAACACTTCACATTTATCCAAATTAAACTCCATTTATCACACCTCAGCCCATCCGATCAAGGTCCCGTCATACTCCAAGATTAGCTTCTTGGCTATCCACTACACCACCGACTTTAGTCACATCTGCAAACTTACTAACCATATCTCTTACATAAATTTTTTGGATGTGAACATGGAAGAGAAAAAGCAGAGCACCCAGCTCTGATCCTTGCAGCACACCACTGATCACAGGCCTCCAGTCTAAAAAGCAACCCTCCACCACCACTCTGTCTCCTACCTTCGAGTCAGTTATGTATCCAAGTGGCTAGCTCACCCTGTATTCCATGTGATCTAACTTTGCTAACCAGTCTACCATGTGGAACCTTGACAAATGCCTTACTGAAGTCCATATAGACCACGTATATTGCTCTGCCTTCATCAGTTGAGTTAATACAGCTCAATGCTTACACAAAAAAATAGTTGAGATGTCAACAGTAATCCTTATGCCTCAAAGCACGAACCACATTTATGGTTTTTGCCACAGACATTGTATGGACTCACGAACACAATTATTTTACTATGCTGTTCCCAGCTGGTTCTAATGGAAGATCACAGATTTGAAATGTTGGGCAGCATTTTACACAGTATGGGTCCCAGGGATAGGTCCGAAATTGGTCAGAAAAAACAGGGATGAACCGGCATTGCTAGTTTGAGGGACCACCCGGCCACACTTTCCTTGGAATCAAGCAACTAATTGGCCAAAAGGGACGGCATCGACAACAAAAGACAAGCATCCATCCTGAGGAGCTGCTGGCCAACTGGAGGATCAGCAGCTCAGCACTGCGACCAGGCTTTTCAGACTGCCTCACACACATTAATTGCCCATTTAAAGGTCCTCCACGGGAGATGGGGCAAGGAACCAGCATACGTTCCAAAGCCTTTGGACTTAACTGGGTCAGTGGCAGGAAAACAGCAGCACAACTTCCACCCAATTAAATGTCCCAATTTCCAAACCAGTCTCAGGGGAGAGTGTGAAATTCCATCCTTAGTATTGTGTTGCTAGTACTGAAGGACCAGGAAGTGTTTTGGTGATGCCATTGTTGTTGTGGCCTGTGGTTTGACTTCCTCCTGGAGATCTGATCACAAGACATTTGATCGCCAGACTGTGGTGCTGAACCCATGATTTTTGACCATGTGTTTATCCGTTGCCAACGTAATTGTGTTTATGAAATGAATGATGCAGACTAACCATGCCCCGCCCCCAAAAGGTTCCCTTTTTATTTTGCACTGAAATGAACTAAAAACTTATAGAAAGGAACTCAAAATGAAAACAAAATAGTGAATCCACGATGTTACTACAATTAGATTTCACTGATTCATTAGTGCGTGTAATTTCTAACAAAACTTTTCATGACATTCAGATTAATTTTACAATACAATTATAAAATTAATGCAAAAATCAAATCTAATTCCATGCACTATAAAGCCCAAATCCTGGCTGGGTGGGGGGGGGGGGGTGTGGTGGTGCTGATGGTGGTTGAGACTCGGTCTGTGAGGAAAAGCACATAATAATAAAAAAAAAAGGTACCACACTCATGTAATAAGAACATACTACACAAGATTCACCACAGAACACGATTGTCCCACCCTCATGTCTACATTCTTCTCCATTTTTGTAGTGCCTTTAGCATGCAGCATCTCAAGGTATTTGCATAAGGACATAGAACATAAAACGTGAGAAAAGAACTAGGAGCACGAGTAGGCAGTTCACCTCCGGAGTCTGCTGCACCATACAACAATGACCATGGCTGAATGTATCTTGGACTCAACTTCACTTTCCTGCCTGCTCCTGTCAACCCATTACGAATTAAAAACTTGTCATCTCCTCCTTAAATTGGAGAGTAACCACCCATTTTTGGAGACCCTGCTGAAATAGGATGGTAGGGAATCCAAGAATCTAGGTACAGATGCTGCAGAAACCATTCCTTTACACCACAGGGATGACCTCTGCACCAATTATGTCACTATCATTGAATCATTCTGCAGTCATGTTTCACATTTTGTCAATGAATACGGGGTATAGGACAATGAATACTATTTTAACTAGCCACAAGGATCAGTCAAAGGGCCTCAATCATTTACTACCAATATGAATGAGATGGAGGAGGGAGCAGAGTGTAATATGTCCAAATTTGCTGACAATATAAAAATAAGTGGGAGGGCATGTTGCAATAAGATACAAGTAGTCTGCTGCTGGATATAGATAGGTTGAGTGCATGGACAAAAACTTAGTAGATAAAGTTTAATGTGGAAAGTAAGGAACCTGGAATTTCCTCTCCAAGCCACTCACCATCCTTACTTGGAAATATATCACCATTCCTTCACTGTCACTGGGTCAAAGTTCCAGAATTCCCTCCCTAAGGGTACTGTGGATCTACTTACAGGACATAGACTGTACTGGGTCAAGAAGGCAGCTCGCCACCACCTTCTGCATATGAATATGAATTAGCTCTATTATCACATGTACTCGAATGAGCACAGTGAAATGTTCTCAAGTGCTCAAGGATGGGCAATAAATACTGACCAAACAGCAATGCTCACATCCCACAAGTGAACAAAGCGAGGTCATGCACTTTGGTAGGGAGATTCAAAAAGTAGACAATTATTTCAATAGAGAGAGACTCCAAAAGAGCGTAGCATAGAGGGCTCTGAGTATTTATGTGCACGAAACACAAACAATTAGCTTGCACGTGCAACAAGTAATTAAGGCAACAAATGGAATGTTGGCCTTTATTGCTTGGGCGTTGGGAGTTTAGGAGTAGGGAAGTCTTGTTACAACAACTGTACAGGGTGTTGGTGAGGCCACACCTGGACTACTGTGTGCAGAGTTGGTCCCTGTATTTAAGGAGGACGTGCTGGAAACAGGTCAAAAAATATTCACCTGGCTGATTCTGGGAAAAAGGGGTTTACTTACTGAGAATGCTAAACAGTTTAGACATTTATTCATGCGTTTAGAAGAATGAGGGATGATCTTCTTGGAGCATACAATATTCTGAGGGGAATTCAGAGCTCTGGAGAAGTCAAATCAGACTTGAAACATTAACTCTGTTTTCGCTCTCCACAGATGCTGCCAGACCTGCTGAGTTTCTCCAGCAATTTCTGTTTTTATTCAAAGATTCTTATGGGGTCTGACAGGTTAGATGTAAAGATGGTTCCAGTGTTGGGGAATCTCAAACTACGGGACAGAATTGCAGAAGAAGGGGAAACTCTTAACCTGAGACACAAACAAATTTCTTCATCTAGACTGGAGTGAATGTCTAGATTTTTCTACCCCAAAATGTTGTGGAGGCTAGATTACTAAATATTTAAAGAGGATACAGCAGATTTTTGAAGTATCACAGTTGACGGCCATGATGAGCTGGCAGGAAAAATGAACCGAGGTCGGTGGCAGATCAGCCGTGATCTTGTTGATTGGCAGGGCAGGATACAGGGCCCAATAGCCCACTCCAATTCCTATTGTCATGTTTCTCTAATATGGATGATGCAAGCAGAAGTAACCAGAATTTTTTTTAAAACAAAAAAAAAAAAAAAAAAAAAAAAAAAAAAAAACTTGCCTGCAACTTGGTGGCACGGTGGCTCAACGGTTAGCACTACTGCCTCACATTGCCAGAGACCCAGGTTCTAATCCAGCCTCGGGTAACTGATTGTGCAAACTCCACACATTCTCCCCCTGTTGCATGGGTTTGCTCCAGGTGCTCCGGTTTCCTCCCACAGTCCAAAGATGTGCAGGATAGGTGGATTGGCTTTGCTAAAAATTGCCCATAGTGCCCAGGGATGTTTAGGTTAGGTGGGTTAGACATGTGAAATTAGGGGAATGGGTCTGGGTGGGATGCTCTTCAGAGGGGCAGCGTGGACTTGTTGGGCTGAATGACCTGTTTTCCACACTGTAAGAATTCTATGAACTTGGTTAACATGATGCTAGAATTGTAAACCATTAACCCCAGAGTGAACGCAATTGCCAACCAAGTGATTTCACATCTGCTTTATCAATCATTGTTGTCAAACAGTAAATGAGGTACAAAATGTATTACACTCATACCTTCCTTGTAAGCCTTAATGATTGCTCTAATTTCCTCGTTGGTTCTTGAGGCAAGAATTTCGATCAAGCACTTTTCATCAGTTCCCGCACCCTACAGAAGATACCACAAAAATAAAAAAAACAGACAAGATAGGTCAATCAAATGTAGGGAGAACTACACAGCTATTTTGTGTAGTGGCTTCCATGTGAGCTCCAGACTATTTTGGCAATTTCATTCCAGACACGTTGAACAAAAACACTCACAGCAGTAAATGACGTTTTAAAGCTACTTGGATGCTTTCCCCATCAAGCTGACACTTCCACATCAGATCAATTCAAAGCTGGTAAACAGCAATTTTTATTATACAAATCTCTGAAAATTCATTCTATTTCTGAATGAGTGGCAGGGGGAAATGACATCTGTGAATACCCTGAAATTTTCAGTTTGAAAGGGATTAGGTATTAGAAGACTGAATATTTTACATTCAAAACAAGTTACGGCTAAGGACACAGTACAGCTCAAGTCAAGGGATTGTCATTCCTTTTAAATCCAGATATGTCGGTGGATTCACAGTGCTGTTAAAAAAGATTAGAAATTTGATCAAAGGAATAAAAAGGACTAAGAGCTGTATTTATGCCTCCAACTTTGTATCAGTATGAAAAACGATTACGTTGATATAATAACTTTTGAAATTGATCTCAGGTATCTTTGAAGTGGGCTGTGATTCTAATACAAGAAATACATTTAGATAGAACTGGCCTTTTAATGTGCTTAACTTACACATGAAATTAAACACATCCTTCAGAAATCTCATTCATACATACAGCTTTCTCTACTGCGGCTTCAAATTTATGGCTTCCAGAACCATAATGGTTTACTGCACAGAAATAAGTAATTTGGTTCATCACATCTCGATTTTTTGGCTGCAGCAATCCAAATCTAATCATATCACTCCAACTTTCCCCAGGTCATCATCTTCTGCATAAAATATTCAATTTTCCCTTAAAAGATACAATGTTCCCTGCTTGAAACAGTCCCTGTGGCGAAGTACACCATCCTTCACATGAAGACATTTCTCCCAACTTTCCTCCTCACTGAGCAATTTAAATTGAATGGCTTCTCTCCCCAGTGAAACCAGTTAGACATAGCATACAGAGTTTTAGTGTGCAAGAATGCTCTGTGCAAAATGTAAATAGTCTGTACAATAGTTAAATAACAGTTACTTAGAAATTACATAAGAGAAACAGAACTTTCAGTCCAACTTGTCCACATTGGAGTTCATCCTCCATACAAAGATGAGGCCTAACCAACAGTGCTCACACCATTCTCACATTTCTCCATTTCCCTTTCTTTAAATATCTTTGTTTAAATGTTGGCATGGCACTACTACAATCAACAACTTCAGTAAGCCTTCCCCAGTCTCAACCCTCCATAAAAAAAAGTGATTTATTCAGCTCTCTATCCCAGATTACCTCTTATTTTATACCAACACTTAACTTTGTCCAGACCTCTCAATAACCAGGAACAGTCATTTTTCTATCTACTCCTCGTCACACTTTAAGCATTTTAATTCTACTCCATCAAATCAAGTAGTACAGAGAACAGCCATTCATGCAATGCTCCTGGGATGACAGATTTATCCTAAGCTGAGAGGCTAAACAAATTGGGTGTCTTCCAATGTTTAGCAGAATGTGAGGTATTCTTATTGGAATGTACAATGCCATCTGGTTCACTAACGTCCTTTGGGGAAGGAAGCTGCCATCCTTACCCCGTCTGGCCTACATCAATATGGTTGACTTTAAACTGCCCTCTGGGCAAATAGGGATGGGCAATAAATGCTGCCTGGCCAGCAACACCCTCATCCCATGAATGAATAAAAAAAAAGATCTGTACAAAGGAACCGAGGGCATTGTTGTTTTGTTTGCAGTTGACACAAAGATAGGTGGAGAGGTAGGTAGTATTGGGGAAGCCAGGAGGCTACAGATGGACTTGGACAGGCTAGGACAGTGGCCAAAGAAGCAGCAGATGGAATGCAATGTGGAAGATTGTGAAGCTATGCACTTTGGGAGGAAGAATAGAAGCTTAGATTTCTTTCTAAATGGGGAAAGACTTCAGCAATCTGAAGCATAAAGGAACTTAGGAATCCGAATTCAGGATTCTCTTGAGGTTAACATGCAGGTTCAATTAGCAGTCGGAAGGCAAATGCAGTGTTAGCATTCATTTCAAGAAGGCTAGAATACAAGAGCAGGGATGTAATACTGAAACTGTATAAGTCTGTGGCCAGACTGTATTTAGAATACTGTGAGCAGTTTTGGACCCCATATCTAAGGGAGGACGTGCTGGCATTGGAGGGAATCCAGAGGAGGTTTATGGGAGTGATCCTGGGGATGAAAGGCTTGTCATATCATAGAATCCCTACAGTGTGGAAACAGGCCCTTCGGCCCAACAAGTCCACACCAACCCTCAGGGCATCCCACCCAGACCCATCCCTCATAACCCACCTAATCTACACATCCTGAACCACTATGGGCAACTTTAGCACGGCTAATCCACCTAGCCTGCACATCTTTGGACTGTGGGAGGAAACCGGAGCATGTGGAGGAAACCCACGCAGACACGGGGAGAATGTGCAAACTCCACACAGACTGTTGCCCAAAGGTGGAATTGAACCCGGATTCCTGGCACTGTGAGACAGCAATCAAGAATTACTGTGAGAATGGAGTTAGAAAACATATCAGCAATGATTGAATGGCAGAGCAAACTCAATGGGCCAAATGGCCTCATTCTCCGAATACTCACTAATTCCACCATTTCCCCTGGATTCTATCTGCCCATCTGATGTAAATGATCAATTTGATGGATAAAGGGTTCGCTTGGTGTGTTGGCCAACAATTATCTCACACCCAGCATCACCTTGATATTCATTTCTTTATGCACGTGGGACCTTGCTGTGCACAAAATGTCTGCCATGTTTCCTACTTCAAAAATGTCATGGACAGTAAAATACCTTGGGAAGTCCTGTGGTTACAAAATTCATTTTTAAAAAAAAAAGGCACTTTCAAAAGTACTTGCAAATATGCTTATCTAACAAGAGGGTGTGCTGGAGATATTCAGCAAGTCTGACAGCATGTGTAGACAGAAAACAATAAATATTTCGAGTCCAATAACCCTTCAGAGTTTGCAGTTTCTCCAGCACTCTGTTTCAGATTTCCAGTATCTGCAGTTCTTTGAGTTTCTGTTTATCCCTTATTCAATAAAAGCTGAATTGCAGCCTAGAAAATTAATTGCACATCTTGAGGGCAGCCCTCCTATTGCTTCACTCCAGTAAGGAGCACTATTTGCACTGGCGGGCTGAGCATAATAAACCAAGTTTAAAATGGTCTCTATACAGGGAAGTGAGAGATTTTACTCAGTCAGGGTGGCACATTCCATCAAAATAAAAGAAAAGTGGGCTAGAAATCTGAAATTAAAAAAAAGAATTCTGGAAGGATTCAAAAGATCAGGCAACAATTGTGGTATTTTGTTCCAATGTCTCCTGGGCTATCCATTCACCTTAGCTGGAGAGAGCATGCAGATAGATGGCAAATGAAAACTTTGAAGTAGAGCTCGCTGTCCACAAATTCTGCGTTACTCAAATTCTGCATTTAGGGCAGCACAGTGGCTCAGTAGTTAGGACTGCTGCCTCACAGCGCCAGGGACCCAGGTTTGATTCCACCCTCGGGCCACTGTCTGTGTGGAGTTTGCACATTCTTCCCGTGTCTGCGTGGGTTTCCTCTGGGTGCTCCGGTTTCCTCCCACAGTCCAAAGACATGCATGCTAGGTGGATTGGCCATGCTAAATTGCCCATCGTGTTCAGGGATGTGTAGATTAGGTGGGTTATAGCGGGAGGGGACTGGGTGGGATGCTCAGAGGGTCGGTGTGGATTTGTTGGGCCGAAGGGCCTGTTTCCACATTGTAGGGATTCTATGGATATGGATTCACTGACACAACAAGCAGGACAGTGGAAGACAGGATAGAGAGTTAAGGGTACAGAGTCCATGTTACGATCACAAAATCACAGAATTGTTAAAAGGACAAGATGAAGTCATTCAATTACCTGCTTCATCACCAATTCTCTGATACTTAAATACTTGATTTTGTAGGTGCCCATTTAAGTCAGTCAGGAGATGCCTATATTTATGCATTTTTAAAGTTCATTCACAGGATATCAGCATGGCTGACCAGGCCAATATTTATAGCTATCCCTAATTAGCCTCACGGTGGTGGTAATGAGCTGCCTTCTTGAAATGCATTATGTCTATGTGTTGTAGTTATACCTGGAATGCTTTTGGAAAGGAAACTCCAAAATTTTGACAGCAACAGTTGAAGGGATGGTAATATATTTCCAATTCAGGATGTCAGTGGCTTGACAGGGAGCTCACTCATGGTGATGGTCCTGTGTGTCAGGAGCCCTTGTCCTTCTGTGATCAAGGTCATAGGTTTGAAAGATACTGCCTAAGGAGCCTTGGGGGGTTGCTACCATGCATCTTGTAGGCAGAGGGAGAGAATGTTGAAGATGGGTGCCAAACAAGCAGGCTGTTTTTGTCCTGGATGGTGTTAAGTTTCTGAAGTGTTGTTGGAGCTGCACTGATCCAGGCAGATGGACAGTATTCCACAAACTCCTGACTTGCACCCTGTAGATGATGGGCAGGCATTGGGAAGAACAGAAGTTAGTTGCTCATTCCAGATCTGCTCATGAGCTACATTTTTACTTATATAGCTGGTCCAGTTCAGTTTTTCATAAATGGTAACCCCCAGGATATTAGTAACAGGAGATTCAGCTAGGATAATGCTACTCAGTGTCAAAAGGGCAATGGTTAGATTGTCTCTTGTTGGGGATGATCTTTGCATGGTATTTGTGTGGCATGAATGTTACTTGCCACTTATCAGCCCAAATAATGACTGGGCATCCTATTGCCACAGCTGTACCACTAGGCTGGTTTGCTACCCAATGGTTACAAGTTTGATAGCCATCTTTTGGATGAGATGTTAAACTGAGCCATGCCTACTCAGATACACAAATGATAGAACCCAAATAAATGCCAGGAGATCCTAACCCACTAATCCTATTG